GAGGGTTAAACCAGGCTGATCCTTAGAGGCAAGGATTCTGAAGCTTCGTCTGACACACTTTGGACATGTTTCAAGGAGGGAGCAGTCCTTGGAGAAGGACGTCATGCTTGGGAGGGTGGAGGGACAGCACAGGAGAGGAAGACCCTCAAGGAGGTGGATTGATTCAGTGACTGTGGTAATGAGGGTAGGTGTGTCAAAGACACTGAGATTGGCACCGGACAGAGCAGGGTTTAGGGCTGTTGTACATAGGGCCGCTATGAGTTACCGGTGACTCAATTGTACATAACAACAACAACATCATGTGAGAAGCTATAAATCAGAATGACCTGCTGCAATGGGCCTGCGTTTGGCTTATTGTTATGGACACCACTCCACCATAAATGCTTACTAATTGTATGTTCCATAATGTTTGTATCCAAAGCCTGCAGACACAGCCACGATGACAGCTGGGATCCCGTAGCCAACAGGGTACATGAACATCTTGCTGAATCTGCCTGCGCTGGTGTAGTTGACCACCTTGAGGTTCCTGACAGTGAGGAACAGGTGCAGCCCTTCCAGGAGCATCCAGGTGAAGGAGGCCAGGTAGAGGTAGTGCAGCGCCCCGGCGATGACGGAGCACAGCACCTGGAGGGGGAGGAGAGTGGAAAGGGCAATGAGACACTGAGTGGTTGGCCACTAATCAAGGGATTGATAGTCTGAACTTACTAGTTGATCCATGGGAAATAGATGAGGTAGTCTGTTTCTATCCACCTTACAGTCTTGGGAACCCTTTGGGGCTGTTCAGTAGGCACTCCAGGAATCAGAATTGACGACAATGGGTATGTTCTCAGTATTCATATCTTCCTGATACTGATCTAGAATTAAGACTCCCTGTGTGGTGAATGCACTCAGCTGCTCACAAAAAAAGGTTGGAGGTTTGAATCCACCTGGAGGGACTTCAGGAGAATGAGTTGGTGATTTACTTCCCCAAACCAGGCAGTGAAAAGCCTCTGGGGCTCACTTATACCCTGACACCCACGGGGTTGTCAGAGTCAAACAGATTCAGCCTGGCAAACTGATTTAATTGGTGAACCTGGAGTTTCAATTCTCAACATCTGTGACATTTTACCAAGGGCAAACAATTTTGGAAGTTTTTGTGGTCTCGGAAATCTGCTCACCTCCTGCATGGAGAAGATGAAAAGTACAAACCAAACCAAACCAAGCCAAACCAAGCCAAAAGATATCCTGGGGCAGCCCTCAAGTCTATGATAGACAGGAGTTGACAGAGAAACATCTCATGAGTCCCTGGGTAGGCCCTCAACTTGTTGTTGACTAACCAAAAAAGTGATCATTCAAACCCACTCTAAAGTTCATAAGAAGATAAATCTCTCTGCTTCCTATAGGTAACAGCCAGGATGGAGAATTTCCACTTTATATGTATGAGGTCCCATGGATCAGAAGACTTGAGTTGACTAGCAGGGCTCCACCAACCCAGTAACAACAAATCACTCAATTCCCAACAGGCATAACGGTTAGGATTCTGACCTATATATTTTTATTTTTTTTATTATACTAGTTTATTTACAAAATTCAAATACATTGTTTTCCAGAACAGATTCTTCCAATTTCCTTCACCCCCACTCATCAAATTGTACAGCTCCACGATTCATCCCCCCTTTCCCTGCACTTCCCCATCCCTCTGCTTCACCCCCTCCCCAAAAAGTTATTATTAAGAGGAAGACTGGAAGAATGGATCTAGTATCTTTACAAGACAGTTGTTGACTACATTCTCTGAGTGCTTGGAGCTCAGAAGTACATACTAAGCTTTTCTCCAAGGCCATGTGCTAGCTATGTTATTTACTGCCCCCCTTAATTAATTTTAATGGAAGTTTACAGAGACTTTGGATTTCCATTCATTCTTTGTTGCACTTTTCTCCCTGCCCAACCT